TTCAAGGAAATGCAAGAAGATTCTAGAAATATCGAGAAAAATCAGGGAGTTTCTGGAAATTTTAAGTGAATTCAAGGAGTTTCTAGAAACTGTGAAAAAATTCCCGGAATTGCTAAAAAATTGAATAGAATTCTTAGCTGTTCTGGAAATTTGAATAAAATTTGAGTTTCCGAAAATAATCGAGGAATTTCTAAAGTTTTGAACAACATTCAGAAAAAAAATTTTTAAGGGGAGACCGCGGTGAAATTTGAAAGTCTCGACTCGGCCTCAACAGCCATTGGATGACTTTTGATATATGAAGGGATATATAAAAAAGTGAGAAAAATTTCGGACTCGAACCGTTTTGCCCCGTATATTTACCAAAAACGTCATTTTTCACGTTTTTAGCTTAAAAAGGCTCCTTGGACCACAGTTTTTGTCCGATTACACCTTCTTTTTTTTTAACGTTCGTTATACTTCAACGAAAAAACCCAAGTATCCGTTTTACTTTATATTTATTAGATGATGAGAAAATGTTTTTTTTTACTTTTTCTTTTTTTTCTTTTTTTAGCAAATGCTAAAATTCGTTGTTTTCCCCCATTTTTTTGTCATAATATTTTGATTACGTATGATTACAACGTGGAATAACGAAAAACAACTAGTTTTAGCATTTGCTAAAAAGAGAAATAGAAACTAAAAAAATCATTTTCTCATTATCTGATAAATATAAAGCAAAACGGATACTTGGGTTTGTTCGTTGGAGTATAGCAAACATTTAAAAAAAAAGTTGAAATCGGATGAAAACTGTGGTACAAGGGGCATTTCTAAGCTAAAAACGTGAAAAACAAAAACGACATTTTTGATGCATATACGAAGAAAATGAAATCTTACTTTTTCAAGTTTCAGCAATGTTCTCATTTAAACCATTAAAATGCAACCTGAGAAATAACTCTCATACCACTCAGGAGAAAAAAATTAGTGAAAAAATCCCCGTGATTGACTTTTTTGACCTTGCGTTTTTATGTGGAACTGCATCAATTGAACATTTTCTATTTAACAATTCAAAAGAACTGTCTAGCAAATTTGCGAGGATTTTCTACTAAATTTTTTCGTGCGTACTTATTTTCTTCAACTTATTTACCTTTTATAGGAGAGGCTGAGACAAACTGAAACCTTAGCTACCCACAGCGTGATGAAGAGTCGAAACTAATACAACAAACTGTGCTCTTTTACTTTCCTCTACTGTTCTATTTTGTCCCATTATTCCCTTAAATTATTGATTTAGAATTCACAATTTTTTTTTGCTTTCTCTATGAAATTCCGAATTGTTGAAGTCGCAATTCGTTAATGTTTCGGTGAGTACTGGCTTTTTTTTCTGCGGAACTCTTATGGGCGGAACATGCATAAATAGTGCAGATAATCTGCAATTGGTTACTAGCAGATTTCATGCATACTTTATGCATATTTCATGCATAACTATGCAGACTTTACACATAGTGGGAGGTTCGCGGAGCTTATGTGTAAAACCTGCATAAGATTGCAGATAATCTGCACAACGTTTTCTGTGTGTACTCATCAATATTAACCAACAAAAATGATTTGTACGGAAAAAATACAACACAACTATTTTTTCCATAAAAATCATTTTTGTTGGTTAATATTGATGGGCACATACATCTCCAGTCATTTATAAGTCCAAGTCAATAGACATACTGCGTGAGCGGAGTCTAGTCTGTGGGCCTAAGTCATGTGACTCGGTCTGTCTTTGACAAAAAATACAACACAACTATTTTTTCCATAAAAATCATTTTTGTTGGTTAATATTGATCAGCACATAAATCTCTAGTCATTTATAAGTCCAAGTTAATAGACATAATACGGGAGCTGTGTCATGTGACTTGGTCTGTCCTTGATAAAAAATACAACACCCCTATTCTTTCCATACAAATCATTTTCATTGGCTAATGTTGATGAGCACATAAATCTCGCGTCATTTTTAAGTCCAAGTCAATAGACATAATTCATGCGCTGTGTCTAGTCTGTAGGCCTATGTCATGTGACCCGGTCTGTCGTTGATAAAAAATACAACACCATGATTTTTTTATTTAAAAATCACGGTTGTTGGCTAATATTGATCAGCACATAAATGTACAATCATTGATAAGTCCAAGTCAATAGACATAATGCATGTGCTGTGTCTAGTCTGTAGGCCTATGTCATGTGACCCGGTCTGTCGTTGATAAAAAATACAACACAACTATTTTTTCCATAAAAATCATTTTTGTTGGTTAATATTGATGAGCACATAAATCTCTAGTCATTTATAAGTCCAAGTTAATAGACATAATAGATATAATACGGGAGCTGTGTCATGTGACTCGGTCTGTCTTTGATAAAAAATACAACACAACTATTTTTTCCATAAAAATCATTTTTGTTGGTTAATATTGATGAGCACATAAATCTCTAGTCATTTATAAGTCCAAGTTAATAGACATAATAGATATAATACGGGAGCTGTGTCATGTGACTCGGTCTGTCTTTGATAAAAAATACAACACAACTATTTTTTCCATAAAAATCATTTTTGTTGGTTAATATTGATGAGCACATAAATCTCTAGTCATTTATAAGTCCAAGTTAATAGACATAATAGATATAATACGGGAGCTGTGTCATGTGACTCGGTCTGTCTTTGATAAAAAATACAACACCATGATTTTTTATTTAAAAATCACTGTTGTTGGCTAATATTGATCAGCATATAAATGTACAGTAATTTAAAAGTCCAAGTCAATAGACATAATTTATGCGCTGTGTCTAGTCTGTGGGCCTAAATCATGCGACTCGGTCTGTCTTTGATAAAAAATACAACACAACTATTTTTCCCGTACAAATCATTTTGGTTGGTTAATATTGATGAGCACATAAATCTCCAGTCATTGATAAGTCCAAGTCAATAGACATACTGCGTGAGCTGAGTCTAGTCTGTGAGCCTAAGTCATGTGACTCGGTCTGTCTTTGATAAAAAATAAAACAACTATTTTTTCCATACAAATCATTTTTGTTGGCTAATATTGATGAGCACATAAATCTTCCGTCATTTTTAAGTCCAAGTCAATAGACATAATTCATGCGCTGTGTCTAGTCTGGGGGCCAATGTCATGTGACTCGGTCTGTCTTTGATAAAAAATACAACACAACTTTTTTTTCCATACAAATCATTGTTGTTGATTAATATTGATGAGCACATAAATCTCTAGTCAATTATAAGTCCAAGGCAATGGACATAATGCGTGCGCTGTGTCTAGTCTGTGGGCCTAAGTCATGTGACTCGGTCTGTCGTTGATAAAAAATACAACACAACTATTTTTTCCATAAACATCATTTTTGTTGGTTAATATTGATGGGCACATAAATCTCCAGTCATTTATAAGTCCAAGTCAATAGACATACTGCGTGAGCTGAGTCTAGTCTGTGAGCCTAAGTCCTGTGACTAGGTCTGTCTTTGATAAAAAATACAACACAACTATTTTTGCCATAAAAATCATTTTTGTTAACTAATATTGATGGGCACATTAATCTCGAGGCATTTATAAATCCGATTCAGTTGACATAGGAGAAGAAGAAGATTCATTGATAACAAATAAATCAACACGTTGCTATTGGCAATAAAAATCATTTGTGCTTACGAATATTGATGAGCACAATTTTCCATGCATCTTTGGACTACTCCGCCCAACCAAAATTCCCGTTATGGCGTTTAATGGGTTTCGACGCTTTTTCCCCCTCATTTTCCACTACCCCAGCAAAGCAAAAAATTTTTGGATACCAAAAAAAAAAGCACATAAATAGTACATAATTTAGGTGTTGTCAAAATGGCCGCCAAATCTCTCGATTTCGCTAAATTTACGGAGATCATTCACCTATAGAAAGTGTCCCATTCCTGAATTCTGTCGTGAATTGGTAAACTAGGATAAGTGCCTTTCGCTTATTGTCAATCATCGATGAATATCTTGGAAATGAAGAAAGATAGCGAAATTATCATAAATATCTTGTTTGAAATTCAGCTATTCAAACTGGTCAAACGGTCACCGGGCTCAACGAAATTCTCGAGAAACTTCGGGACCCGTCGGGATCACGGTCAGCTACGAAGAAAATCGCCGAAAAAGAAGTAGTATCGTTCTAGCCACCGACAGAGTCACTCTAATCGCAAATTGTATTGCCAAAACCGCGCGATCGAGTACATGACCGGAGTATATCGACGCGATATATTTAAGTCTAGCACTTTGTATAGCGTCTCTATTTAATTCAATTCAATTATCAATTAATTCCGAGTTAATTATCAATTATTTGAGTCAATTATCAAGTTCAATATCGAGAGAATCTCAAGTGCAGTGCATTTTTCAAACAATCATTTTTATTGACTTGTCGAGCAACTCAACAGTGTAATAATATTAATTTATCAAGACGCGTGGGTTATTCCACAATAAAGTACATCAACAGTGTGGTTTTATTATTCCGCGTGTTTTAATTTTCCACCTCCTTCCACAATTCCACTTTTTTCCCAACCGGCATCTCAATTTAGCTTCAATCTCAAACAAATGGTCCTTCGAGCCGGATGGGGAAAAAGTGCGTGAGAGTGAGTGGAAAATTCTAGAATAAAAGAGACGCCTCGTGTGTAACGGACTTTCGGGTTCCACACGAGCAAATCTACGGACAGGTCAAGACAATCAACAGTGCAGAGTGTTGTGCCCAGTGTTTACAGTTGAAGTTCGGTATTGTAAACACCGGTAGTGACATTTCGACCTCTAGTGCTGTGCAACTTCGGAAAACCTCGGTCTCCGTCGGGACTAGCCGAGGCCCAAGCCGCGCGCGCTACGCGAAATCCAACAGGCAGTTGGAAGAGCGCCCTCACCTAATAACGTGCCCTACCTTATCGACAGTGGGCATCAAGTCAACATCAGTCGGTATCTACCTATTATCGATAAGTTACCTCACCCAGAGCAGAGACGACCACCATGTCAGACGCAGAGTTAGGAGATAATCAACGTATGGATGAAAGCACTGAGGAGACGCCAAGCGTAATTGAGCCAATTATCCAAATTACTGAGAATCCGTCCCAAGCGCACTTCAGTGGAGAAAATACACCGCAGTTCCCTAATGCAACTTCCATTCACCAACAAGAAATTAAACACACTGTAGCCCAGAGGGGACCTGCAATAGGCGAACTCACAGAGACTCAGAAGTTCCAAATAAATAAACTGGACTTCAAGGTAAAGTCATTTAATGATATTTATCAAGAATTGTTGCAGTCAGCCGAGAACATTAGCGGTCGAACAGTTGAGGAGTTGGACGGCCAGGAGAAAATCATCGAAGGAAAATGGAATGAATTGCTCATCATCCAAGACAAACTCAGCGAGACCCTCCTGTCATCTCATCAACATATTATTGAGACGACCTATCAGAGGGCTTCAACGCTGAAGGAACCCTGCCTCACACTCATCTATCAGCTCAAAGGAATCATCAAGAAGAGGGAATCAGCGAGTACATTAACAACATCAGGCCAAGCCAATCAACTCAAGAGAATCGGACTGAAACCATTCGAAGGAAAATACTCAGAGTGGAAGCAGTTCAGCGACCTGTTCCAGTCACTGGTGGGAAAAGACGATTCAATTCCGCCAGTGCAAAAGCTAGTACGCCTCAAGGAGGCTCTCAAGGGACAGGCAGCAAATCTCATCGACACCTTCACGGTGACCGATGAGAATTATGAGAAGGCCTGGCAGAAGCTAGTGAGGAAATATGAGGATCCCAGACTCATCGCTCAAGCACTGTTCAACAGGATCCTCCACCTCCCGAAGATCACCAAGGCAACTGCGGAGAACCTCANATGTCAGACGCAGAGTTAGGAGATAATCAACGTATGGATGAAAGCACTGAGGAGACGCCAAGCGTAATTGAGCCAATTATCCAAATTACTGAGAATCCGTCCCAAGCGCACTTCAGTGGAGAAAATACACCGCAGTTCCCTAATGCAACTTCCATTCACCAACAAGAAATTAAACACACTGTAGCCCAGAGGGGACCTGCAATAGGCGAACTCACAGAGACTCAGAAGTTCCAAATAAATAAACTGGACTTCAAGGTAAAGTCATTTAATGATATTTATCAAGAATTGTTGCAGTCAGCCGAGAACATTAGCGGTCTCACAGTTGAGGAGTTGGACGGCCAGGAGAAAATCATCGAAGGAGAATGG